ATTTTAGCAACATTGTTTCATCAGGTTTAAAAAGTAAAAAAAAAGAATGGATTTGGTGGAGTTTAATGAAGTGTGTTAACTGAAGCATTAGAGTAAAATACACTATATACATATCAGATGTATTCAACTATACGGCATGCTTGTGATGGAATACTTTTTTATAATTAAAGTGATCCTAAATCGATCACCAAAAATGGTCAGTATTAGTTGGATGTAGAATGTTGTGTAAAATTGATTTAAAAATGTACAAGAACAAACAAAACTTTTAAGGATTCTTTGGCATATTTGTTGTCTGCTGCCATATAGTGGCATCAACAGATATTACAGTCAATTCGTTGTAATGCGTGAAACAGAAGGATTATCATCAGTCTTTACCAGACCTTGCACCAGTGTTTGGTGGACTGTATTAAATAGTTTGCCCAGATCTGTCTTAGACCAATTATTATTGTTATTACAATTACTAAAAATTCAAGTTGTGAATTTCTTTACAGTTAAATTCAGTTACGTAATAGATATGTATCTTTTATTTGGTAGTATTTTTTATGAATGACTTGCAAAATTATTACAGCCGTCATGGTAGTCGTTCATTGCGGTATTGTAACTTTTATTACAGTAAAGGTCTAAACGCTTCTACCAGTACTGCTGAAAAAAAAAAAAAAGGAAGTTTGAGTGAGCGGCGCTGCTGAGTCCAGGACGTCTGTTTCCTTCATCAACCACCAGACGGCCTTCACTGCCGTCTTGGAAATATTTCTCACCAGTCCAGCGTGTAAAGCACCGACTCTGACCACTTGCCATGTTTACTTGTTGGGTCACTCCTGCTAATAAAAGCTGGTCTGTGGTTGTTAAATGTGATTGGTTAACCAGGAGAACCACCCTGGTCCACTTCAGCTTAGCTGCTGTGAGTCTGTCTGTGCAGCAGAGTGACCCCTGCTTCGAGTGGGTGTGGACAGGCATGTCCTGTTCTAAACATACTGGAAGACCATCTGAAATGTTAGCTCGCAGCCTTCCAGAGAAACCCAACCCTGAATGCTCGCACATGCTCACACACACACACATGCAGTTGTGATTGTCTGAGGTTGGGTTTGGAGTCAGCTGTGGGGTTACATGAAGACAAAGTTATAGCAACAGAGCAAGAGGAGGAATTTAACTCTTGTGTTTGTGAATCTAGTGTGTGTGTACAGTTTGAGACGCTGGTGTTGCGTTCACTCCACAAATGTGTCGGACATTTGATTAGTAGTCGAATTAAAATTAAATCATTCTTGACATCTAGTTTCAGGCCAAATCCCTGGAATTTACGGGCAGGAAGTGGCCCCCGAGCCTAAAGTTGGAGTCCCTCCGTTGGACCATTCACCAAACAAACTTAACAAATGTGTGAAAAGGATACATTTGAGATTGACATGCAGCTCAAGCAGCTGGAGCTTCACAAATTATTATTTTACATCGCACTGAAAGTGATTGGCTGGATGGATTCATCTGCTGTGTTGCCTACGAGACTGAGAGAGTGCAGTTTTGGTAGCACGATAACACAGTGGCCTTAATCCTGCCCTGTGACCACAGGGGGTTTCCCCCTGCTGCTGTCCCTCCCTCTGGCTCTGTCTTTGGCACGAATGCAGATACAGTTACAGTGTGACCTGAGCTTTAAGCCAAAAGAACCCCCGACCCCCCACTCCCCATCGGTCTTCCTGCCAATCCGTGTACGAACAGCAGCAATAACATTTTTAAGGAAAAGGGTATTTTTATGAAGAAGATCAGAGGGTGGTTTCTCCTCTCAGCCAAAATCAAATCATTGGCGGATTCTGGGGCCTGATCAGGTAGCTGTTGGCGTGGGAGACTGTCCGTGCCCTTGATGACTCACGTCAAGACTCCCACAGGAGTCATTGACTATTGTCTCTCAGTGCTGGGGGTGCAGTGACCGCCTGCATGGGAGCGAAGGAGAAGTTGATGCTGACTGGCACTTCTGTGCCACACATTTGTTCTGCAGCAACACAGCGACATACAGCCTCGGGGAGCAACATGACAAGATGAATATTAAGCAGATGGCGTGTGTGTGTGTGTGTTGTGAAGAGTATTTATAGTCGTGGTGCAAGTGATGAGTACAACTAAACACACTGTAATTATGGCCTATTTAAACATGTGTTTCAAAATGAATACCAATATATTCACAAACAGAGATATGCTTTTTAATATATTTTATATATGTATATGTGTACAGATACATACAGTATATAAATATATATATATATGCATATATATTTATTCATGTATATACATGTGACTGTAATAGTTGGTCACTTGTGTTCATTTTGATATATTATATATATAATGCATATATACATATATGTATATATATATGTATATTTACATATATATATTACAAATGGGGCCTTGGTATTGGTTAAACGTGATTCCACGTGATTCTTCTGTTTTAACAAACAGCAAATATTCAAATTTCATTTGAAACAGAAGGAAAAAGAAAACAGCCAGGTTGGGTTTGTTTGGAAATGAACTCTGAAAACTCTAAACTCTGAATGCTTTTCTGCTTTTCTCATTGCAAATATGTAACATTCAGTGTTTTGGGTTGATAATATCAAGACTTGCTTAAATGAATACAATTTTGTAATGTGGAAAATATAACAGATTTAGGGAGAAAACCAGGCGATAAATGTGCACTAGTTGTTCCTAATTACTCATTAGGAAGTAGTTAGCACTTCTATTGAAAAAAAAAACTAAATGCAGCTATTTTGGACACTGTTCCCTATTGTGTTGCTGCACATTCTTAGCATACCAGATCTGGTCGGATATACTGTACATGACACAATGAGGCATGGAACACAAAAACCACTGCACTGCCTCTGTCAGCGACCGCTTCAGAGAACTTTAGACTCCAGACTGCAGCCGTTGTATAACACAGAGTGAAGATTTGTGTGCGTGTGTGTTCGTGCGTGTGTGTGTGGCTTTGTTTCCGTTGGTATTATTGTCTTTTGCGTCTTCACACGGATTCATCTGTTTTGTGTTTTTCTCCCACTTTCAGTTTGCAGTGAGATCGCTGTGATATATTTTTGACCACACTGAAGTTGAATGGGTTTTTTTTACCTTGTTTTTATTTTTATTTGCTTTAATATCTACATTTAAATCTAGTTTTTCTAAATGCCCCAGGTCTGTTCTTGATCTGCCTTTAAGGCGTATCTCAGATCCTGCTCCTGCCTGAGGCTGATTCATATCTCCACATAAAGTGGGTATCAGTTGAACAAAATCAGATTCAGGTAATGGACTCCAACGACTCCTCCACGCTCCTCTACTCTGACTCGTCCTAACTGTCCTCATAATGAGCCTGAGCTCAGTTAATGAGTCTCAGATGGGAAATTACAGCTCTTTAGTGGTAAACACTCTACCAGTCCTACCCGTCCCGTCTTCTTTCTTTTCTTTTTTTTCTTTGAAAACATAAAAGCTTTCCAAAATTAAAATGTAGGAAAATACCCAGATTGGCCATTGTTGTGCAGTTTCCCCTGCAGTACTGTTGTTTGTGCCTGAGCACACTTTAGTGAGAGAGAGAGAGAGAGAGAATGGTGCAGTGTTTTAGTTTTCTTCTAAAGGAGTCTGCCCTGTGTTAGTTACTGTGTGAAGGTGATGCCCTGCTCTGACTCTGTGCCAGGGAAGTCTGCCAGTGGGAGGAACATGCTGACTGTTGAAGGCAGTTGGGGAAGAATTAAGAGATTTTTTTTTAACAGGTAGCATTTTTGTCAAAGGTCATTGAGTATTTTAGTTTTAAGGTTGAAGTTTTCTTCAAACACAGGCATAGTGGTTGGACTTGTTGTTGCTCTTTGTGTACAGAGCTTCACTGTTCTAAAGAACATCTTTAGAGGTAGACAGGGACTGAGACTTTGGTGTGCTCAAAACAGCATTACAGCTGTAGTGCAACATTGGTCTTTCAGTTTTTGTGTATTTTTGCTTTGAGGCAGCAGCAGGTCATTCCACTGTTGAAAACTATAGCCAATAAAGTAGACTTACTTTACTTATTATATTTCTAACAAACGACAGCCCTAATTTACAATGTTTTTTGCAATAACGTTATTTTATGGTGAATCAGGTCAGGTCACTAGTAAAACTATTGAGTTGTGTTTGTTAGGGGAAAAAAATCATACCCAAACCCTACTACATTTATCCAGTGACATCAACAATTACAAAATTTCACAGTTATCTTGAATATCTGTATATTTGTTTGAGGAAAGTCCTTTTGATTTACACATAACTAAAGACCACCTGTACGCTGCTTTTGTTCTTAGTTCCGGCAGCTGGTAGTGCTGAGTTCCAGCGTCCCCAACCTGGCCTCCCTGTTAAATCCACAGCAGCAAGAGCTATTTGCTCAACAGAGTCAGTGGGACATTGAATCCCAAATCTCTTCCCTTCTTCACGCTCCACTGGCCCAATTATGAACCCAATCACAACAGCACCTCGACATGCCTCTGTCTGGGAGTGAATGAACAAGTGAATGGAAGAGTGTAGCAGCCAATGAACTCTTAGTAAATAAAGAAGGAGTTTTCAGGTTTGGTGGGATAAAATGAAGTCCTTTTAATTGTACTTTTTCTGGTAAAAGAAACGATGATGATAAAAAGGTTCCTTAAAATTGTAAATGTGTGATTATACTAACCATGGTCTCTTCTTGTCCCTCTCTTGTTTATGTTTCTCTGGGACTGTCCTGTCTCTGATGGATTGGCCCTCTCATTCAGCCGAACCCAAGGTATGTAAGCTTCACGCATACCAGCCTCTCAGAGTGTCAGGCCGCAGTTCAGGCTACACTGCTCCCCTGATGGGCTGAGAGACATCCCACTCAGGTCGCTGTGCTGTTTCTAGGGACGTGATTGAGAGTGTTTCAGCAGTTTGGTTGGTCAGCAGGAGCCGGATAGATGTCCGTGTGAATGTGTCAGTGCTCGAAGATCTCCCGAACACCCACAAAGGTTCCATAATGAGAGAGGGATGAGTGCAGACACTGGGGCACTGTGTGTGTGTGTGTGTGTGTGTGTGTGTGCATTCAAAGCTGCATTGTTGGACTGCACCCCCACGACCCCTCTTGACAACGCACTGGTGACTAGCTCAGAGATGTTTCACACCGGGGATGGGCTTTGTGCTGGGTGTGCTCAGTGGCTGATGGGACTAGAAAGTGATAGCATTGGGCAACAGACAAGTCTGTGAGTTTGTCTGTGATTCCTCTCAGCTTCAGGAAGACATGGTCGTTCGATGAGTTATTGTGGGCCACGTGTGTTATTTTTCCTTTAACTCAGACGTCTTTAACTCAGCTGCTGACGCCGCCACTGGATGTACAGTTCTAAGTAACCCAGATATTTTCATTCTTAAATGAGCCAAAAAAATATTTTAATAATTGAAAGTAAATTTTGCAAAATTACCTCTGGAGTGTAAAGAGAAATAATCAGAAGCGGGGTAGTGGTGGGCCTAAAGTGGCCCCCGGACCAGATGTTTGAGACCTTACCTTAAGCTCAAGTGTGATGCGAGGCTGCAGAACCCTCCCACCCCACCATCCCTGTTTCCTCACCTCTGCTGATAGTGTTCCCCTTGTCAATGACTGTAGAGATGTTTTGAAATATTTAAATGAGTGCATCAACTAATGACAGTAATGCAGTGATTGTATACGCAGGTAGATTTGTGGAGTAATTTAACTAAAAATCTAAACTCGACTTCTCTGTTGAAGCCACTTTCAACATGCTCATTAAATGACCATGATAATTCATGACATCATGTCTGTATATTAGCCTTTAAAAAAGGTGATGCTCATTCATTTTGTTGCCACAGAGGAAATATATCACAGTGGTACAATTCCTGTAAGATGAATAAAAACAGATTTACAAAAATTTCAAGATAAACATTTGGAACAGTTGTTTATCGTTAAAAACATCCCCAAAAGTTAGTTATGCAAGCAGGAATAGACCACCGTCCTCTTGGCTGAACTCATCTCTAAACTGTGACCTGGGGCCCCTGCAGTATTAACTCTGAAAACTGGCAGGGGCAGAGCTCTCTCTGTTGGCTTGTACTGCACAGTAAACCAGCCATAATACCTGTTTGAGTACATAAAATATTTAAGAAAACAGAAAGACTTTCTGAGTGCAGACTGATTTAGCCGTAACTTGAGTTGATATGGTGAAACCTTTTTATTGAAGAGATAAAAATGCTGATGGTCTTTCCCACAGAGCATCCTCTCTGTGAATTTTCCACCCAGAGCTGATGCAGGTGCCTAGGGAACACAAAGACTCTGCTGCTGTTGCTGCTTCTGCTGCTGCTGCTGGAGGAGTCTGGGCTCTGAGGGCTCAGAGCCAGCCTGCACCACCGGGACCAGCTATGGCCCTGTTTCCATGGAGACAAGGGTCACTGGGTGCTGGAATTTCTTCTGGGAAGCACTGACCCTGATTTATGAATTCATTTGAGTCCAGCCACTATGACAAAACCGGGAGCAGATAACAGTGGATCTGTGCAGACAATCATGATGTGGTCTTTTAATGAGCATTACCTCAGCAAACAGCACTGGGACAGACTTCACCTCAGTCACTCAGACAAGCTCAGTCCTGTTGAATTACTGCAGCACGTACAGCACAAAAAGTCTGTTTTTAAGCTCAGACAGATAAGTGACCGTTTAGAAAGTGTTTGCACTGAACATGTCGGGGCAGGTGTGAGGAGCCGGTGTTTACCCCCTCCCCCCGTTCTCTCTCCACTGCAGGTGTTCGCTTTTGACCACTGTTTTTGGTCCATGGATGAGTCCAATCTTCCTAAATATGCCGGTAAGTCCTAAATGCTGGAAGTGACCCGTCACTCATCACACATCACATTCCTTTCACTGGTGAGTCCTGCTTGGTTTGTGCAGTGAAACAAGCTGGTTTTTCCTCATGCACATCTGAACTCATTTTGGTTCAGGGGCCACACACGGCTCAGATCAGATGTCAGATGGGCCAGACCAGTATAAACAAAACATAATTTCCTATGTATAACAATAATTTCATATCACTGCCCTTTTTTCCTGCAAATACGTACACGAACATTAGAAAGTATTCATATTTGATGAATGATAATTTGAAAAAACATCACCAGCCTGAAGAAATGCATTTTTTTTACTTTCAAAATCCATCAACCGACCCCCCAGCGGGCCAGTTTTGGTCAACGGGCTGTATGTTTGACACCCATGGCCTAAGCTGTAAGTTCATTATTAATATCACTACACAACACACAGTGTTGTATCAGTGTAAAAGTTCATACCTGAAGGATTTAGGTGCATGTGTCTGTTTGTTATTTTAAAAAAACTGCTCAAAACGTGGCTCCTTTTTACGAGTACGTACATATAGTGATTTGCATTCTGTGTGAATTAATTAAAACTCACAAACACACTGTTTGACAATGAACCCATCCGGCTCCTGTTTTCAGATATAAAGCACTTACGCAGTGTTTTTAACATGTAAAACGCTCATTTGCATTTCACCTTGTTTTGGTAATGTAATAATCTTTTTCCATTCCTACCTCTGCCCAGCAGAGGTCATATCTACTGCCTTTTGATTACGTCCATAGAAAGGACTTTATTATTGTCCATGGCTCAGGCTTGTTTACATAATCATTGTTGAAATAATGCTCTTCATAGCGCGCTCTTCCTGCATTGGCAGTGTGTCGCTCGCACATCTGCTTTGTGCTGTACCGACAAGGCAATCTTTCACTGAAGGGCTGCCTCAAGGGCCCAGACCCAGGCTTTATTTAGAGCGTTAAACAGCTGTCCCATTCACGAGGAGCACGACAGTGAGCCACATAAGAGATGTCACTACAGAGCTTGGTGTTGTCCGCACGACTGGACAAGAACCTGATGCCCTGCGTGAATATTATTCTCTTCTGCTGGTAGTAACTGTGTTGAAACAGTAATATTGATAAAGAAAAAAAAAATCGGAATATTTGCAAATTAGACATTCACGGTTTCTTTGCGATTGCACACTCACTATTATAAATATTGATAAATTGTCAATGTAATTAATAAAGATTAGGGATCAATAGCGACAATGCAACATTCATCAATATGACAAAACAACAATATTTTTACTTGCTGTAACAGAATGGCAAATAACAGCAGGTAAACATGGGTGTGTTTAACACTTGTTATTATACAAATACAATACAATACAATACAAATGATGGGATTATTAATATGGCTGGGCATTGAGATGGCATTTTCAGCTCGCTTTGGTGAAATGAAAACGTTTCCCACATTGTGTGCAAATAACAATGTGTTTTAACTGAATATTGAGTATTAATGAAAGTATTTTTTTATTTCATGTTTTTCACTGCTTAAAAAAAACAAAATTGTCTTGTAGTTTGTTTCCCTCTTACATCTTAAATATATCGTCTGTTTACTATAATTTCTATGGTGACACATTCTTTGTCCTGCAGGTCAAGAGGTGGTGTTCAAGTGCCTTGGTGAGGGAATACTTGAAAATGCATTCCAGGGATATAACGCCTGTATATTTGCCTACGGACAAACAGGTAACAGCAGATCCACATGAAATTCATCTCATGTTTTTCAGTTTTTATTGCTAAATCCATCAGGGCACGCAGGTTTCAGAAGATTTATAGATTGGGAAAAGTATCTTGTCTACTGAAAGTGAAGTCTCTGAGTGTTTCTGCAGGTTGTGTCTCCAGAGTGTCTCCAGATGTTAGAAGTTCAAAGAACAGCAGGATTTGGGGATTTTCTTTTGGTTTTTATCACTGCCTAATCTCTCACCTCATGTCCTTCTTCACCCTAGAACAAATTAGCTTCTTATTGTTGCCTCTGTATTAAAACAACATTTTAATGTAAGTTTTGTTAGTCACACTTAATCACACTAACAGGGTTTTTATTATTTAAAAAAAAAAACTATTTTAGCACAAAAAAATTGTAATAAATTAGTCCAAACCACAGAGGCCATCTGAATTGTCTTTGTCCGTTCAGGTTCAGGCAAGTCCTTTTCCATGATGGGGAATGGTGATAATCCAGGTTTAATCCCTCGACTCTGTTGTTCGCTGTTTGAGAGGGTCCACAGGGAGAACAATGAGTCCCACTCCTTTAAGGTGGAAGTGTCATATATGGAGATCTACAATGAGAAGGTCCGTGACCTACTAGATCCCAAAGGGTGAGTCTCATTCAAACTGTATTTAAAAAAACTAGGTTTAAACAAATGGATGGCTTTGGACCAGGCACAACCAACAGGTCACACACCTCCTTTATAATTTCCTTATGGCCTTGATTCATTCTCCAGTGTCCTCTCCATCACTCCCTACTTTGCGCTGCGTCCGATATCTGTTTTTAGCCCTGTTGTGTCTGCTAGCCTGACTGGAGGACGGCGACAAAATACTTTGAGTAGGAAGCTCAACCCAGTCATTTCCTGCCTAACAACGGCCAGCGGTGTTCTCTGACACCGTTGTGTTCTTCTCCTCTGTGGTGGGATGTGGGTTGGCAGACAGACTGCAGAGGAGGGCGAGCAGTGAAAGAGTGCGTTTCAGAAACATCTGTTTGAGAAGCTGGGAGCAGGAAAGCAGTCAGAGCGGTCAGTCAGCCAAGTCTTAGAGGAGCCGGACAGTGCAGCGTTTCTGCTGCAGTGTCTTTTCATTTGTACAACTGGCCTCACACCCTCTTGATCTTCAGATGCACATTTCTCTATGTAGCTGCGGGTGAAGCAAATAAAAAAACAAGGTACAGTTGACTCCCTAGATAAGAGTTTAATCCTTTCTACAACAGCACTCCCTTTAAATTATAATATATATAAATATATACAGTATATCAATTATATATAATATAAAATAATAATAATTAAGAAAACATTTTATATTATTGTTATATCAACGGGTAAAATAACTAAGTGAAGGACTGTGAGCGAGGACTCGATTTAGATAGAAAGAGAGAGAGCGATGGTTAAAATGACCGACTCGATTTAGATAGAAAGAGAGAGAGAGCGATAGTTAAAAAGCGAGGGGCAGTTTGCAAGACTTTTTCAAAATTCGGGTTGAAAAATGGAGCTTGGTTGAGCAAAATCTTGCAATAGTTGCAAACTCGTAACATGGAATACTTGTATTTCGAGTAGCTCGTATCTAGGGTGTCCACTGTAATTTCCCCAGTTTAAGAGACGTCATGCTGCAGTTTCTAAAGGCATTTAGAAGTCGTTAATAGTCTCCATTGCTTTAATAAGTGGAAATGGTCGATGCACCATTACACAGATTGATCGTTTGACTGTCAGTTGTTACAGACTTGCTCCCAACACTGGCAGTTTTATTACCAGATAAAAGTATAAACAACGGGAGTTGCTTGAGAAGTCGCCCGAGTTCCTTTGTTCGATCCAGAGAGTTAGGCACCGGGTGGATTTTAACCCGAGACCTTTGTGTGCTGGCGGACCACATGTGGCTGTGAGTCAAAAACAATTTGACCATGGGCCACAAATTGGTCCCCGGCCGGATTTTGGACATACCTGGTCTAAATGATCACCTCTGTGATACAGTAAAATGTGAAGCAAACTCCCCCCTCTCTCCCCTCTCTCTTCTCTCTCTCCTCCCTCTGTATTGTGAATGGATTGGCAGCTGGTCTTTTTAGTCAATTCACACTCTTGTTTGCCACAGTGGGGGGTAGTTTAGTCCAAAAGGAGCAGGGAACCTGCTCTCTGCTAACCTCAGTCCCTCTGTATCCGTGCAGCAGGACTCCGTGACTTTGATTTATAGGATTTCAGGATTCTTTTCACCACATGGCTGACAGCCAGGTGAAGCTGAGCGTCACTTTGCCCAGACTCCAGTCAGACTCTAGATTTAGCAAGCACAGCATTGTGAGTGCAGTACAGTAAAAGAAATTCAAATTATATGGATGTAAAGTTGATCACATATTCTTAAATGGTAATTTACTCAAGCAGAGTAAAAAAAACCAAGTGTAAATCAAAGTTGGTAATAAGTCTCCGTGTGGCCAAAGTCGTGCACGGCTTATCTGACTGCGGCAACAAGACGACAGTGACTCACACTGTGTAGCTGTGTAATGGAAACATTTTACAGCAGTGAAGTTTTAATGACAAAACTGTTAACGTTTACTGCAGTTTGTAGTGCTTGTTAATGGACAGTCATTGCGTTCCTGGTCATTCCGTTCATTTCCCATTCAGTCCAAACAAATGCATCCCTTTTTAGAGTTGTACATTTTAGATGTTTAATGTTTTGTGTTAGTTTTCCTTGAAACAGAAACAGAAAAGTCACTGCTGGAGACTGTTTCCAATTTTCCAGCTCTGAATTTGAACTTGTGCTCCCAGAAGGGGGACAATAAATCACTTTTGTTTAAAAAAAAAAACAAAAAACTCCCTAAGCTTTGTTTTAATTTTTCACTCATTTTCATCAAACTCCCATTGTCAGAATGGACTCTTTTTTGTCCTCTGAAAAGGAATTTAGTTTCACTGCCAATAATGAAAGGAAATCAATCAAGTGAACAAATTAGATCAAATTTCTTCAGGGATACTAAGTAACTTAACTATTCCTCCCTTTGGGAACTGGATTTTTTAACTCATTTTGTTCTTTCTTTTCTTTTTTTTTCAAGGAGCCGACAATCACTGAAAGTACGAGAACACAAAGTCCTGGGTCCATACGTGGACGGCCTGTCTCAGCTGGCTGTGACCAGCTTCGAGGTGTGTTTTTCACACTTCTGTCATCGGTCTGTGACCAGAGGCGCGGCTGAATCCACCCTGTATCTCTGACCGTCGAGCCTCACACGCAGACGTGATTTATATGAACCAGTAAAAGCGTCTGCCTATCATAACCCTGAATGTTTCATCACTGGTTTGAATTGGGTTGGGAAAGCATTTATTTCTTTGCTGTGTGCCGAAACTGTAACAACACATATATTTCTGATGAGGGATGTAGTCATGGGTTTTTGCAGAGCACATATGCCAGTCCTTGGCAAGGCCTTCTTTAATTAACTTTGAAACACACTCCACCCTGTTCCTCTGTGCTCTGCTCTGCCTGATATTAGAGCGTTTTAATTTCCCACAGTCTGTACTCACAGCTGGCTCTGACCCAGTCGGTACGGTACAGTTTTTATGCATGTGTTGGAACTCGGACAGAAGACACGGAGCATTGGCTTCAGCTAATGGGAATCAAAATTAACAACATTATTAAAGTGGTTCTCCAACATTTACAGCACGCACCGTCACGTCAAAAAAACCTCCGGCTGTTGGAGTTCAATCGCTAATAGGACCAACACGCAAATTTGTGTAGTGGTTATCACACCTGCATTACACACAAATGGGCCTGGGTTTGAGTCCCAGAGAAACCACATACTTAGCACCTCCAACAGGCAGCCTGTAGTAGCAGATCTGCTGTTAGGATTTCCCCTGTGTGAGATCAAAGTTTTATATCATCATTATTAATTTAATTATCCTGAAAAAACAAGAGCAAAACTCAACACAGCAAATGAAAAAAAAATATTACAGCTGTATTTATTTTGAGCCATTAGGATATTTGGCCAATGCACTAAAATAATTACAGTGTGTCACCAGTGGTCCCCGTGCCATAGTTTGAATACCACTCAGCCAACAAATAAAATGTTTATATATATTGACTAACAGTTATCTTTATTTTATTTGTTGTTGTTTTTAGGACATTGAGGTTTTAATGTGTGAGGGAAACAAGTCCCGAACAGTCGCAGCCACCAACATGAACGAGGAGAGCAGTCGGTCACATGCTGTCTTCAGCATCATTGTCACACAAACACTTTATGATCTACAATCTGGGGTCAGTTTGACTTTTTAACTACAAACTATTTATTTTTCACCTATAAAAAAATCTCCCTGACCTGTGGGTCTCCTGGCTGTGAACAGAATTCAGGGGAGAAAGTGAGCAAGATGAGTCTGGTGGACCTGGCAGGAAGTGAGCGGGTTTCTAAAACTGGTGCTGCTGGAGAGAGACTCAAAGAGGGCAGCAACATCAACAAGTGGGTTAAGGTTTTTTATGAACATTTCTTTCGGTGTTGAGGGAATCATTTTGATGGTTAACGTAGCTGTTTTGATGTGCGTACGTTTTCAGATCTCTCACCACATTAGGTTGTGTGATTTCTGCTCTGGCCGATCAGTCGGCAGGAAAAGGAAAAGCCAAGTTTGTTCCTTACAGAGACTCAGTCCTCACCTGGCTACTAAAGGTTTGACCCAAATTTTTTATTCTCCCATTTTTCATTGGCTCCTGTTTACTAAGTCCTGATTTGAGTCTTGTTTTTCCATTTTATTTATTAAGCAACATTTATGACAATGACACCTTGGGTTCTGTACTCTGTTGAATTTTAAACCCTTCACATAGACTGACAGTGTGTCTTCTACTCCTCAGGACAACCTTGGTGGTAACAGTAAGACAGCCATGATCGCTACGGTGAGTCCAGCAGCAGACAACTACGAGGAGACTCTGTCCACGCTTCGCTACGCAGACAGGGCCAAACGAATAGTCAACCATGCTGTGGTGAATGAAGACCCTAACGCTAGGATCATCAGAGAGTTGAGGGAGGAGGTGGAGAAGCTCAAGGTTCAGCTGTCTCAGGCTGAGGTAAGGTGGGGAGGAGTCATGATACAGATTTAACCTCACTAAACCCCTGGCCCAAAACCCCCATATTGATGAAAGATTGTGTTCCCTTCCTCCATTCATCCATCCATTCCATAAACTATGACAGATGTCTGTTAATGTGTTTTGAGAACTTGAATAAAAATGGTTCATGACCCATCACTGTATTTCCTTGGCCCTCTGCAGACCCCATGTTGAAGACCGTTATTGACGATTGTTGTCCTTATTTGCTTTGTTTACCACGTCAGTCTTTGAAGGCTCCTGAACTTAAGGAGAAACTGCAGGAGTCTGAGAAACTCATCCTGGAGATGACAGTCACCTGGGAGGAGAAGCTGAGGAAGACAGAGGAGATTGCCACTGTATGTGTATATGTTAAATTAAAAAGATGTTGAATTTAAACTAATGAAACGAAACATAATTCATCTATAATAAATATTGTTTGTCTTTAAAGGAGCGTCAGAAGCAGCTGGAGAGCATGGGCATCTCCTTAGAAACATCTGGGATTAAAGTGGGTGAAGACAAGTGTTTTCTTGTCAACCTGAACGCTGACCCTGCCTTAAATGAGCTTCTGGTCTACTACCTAAAGGTAAGGCAGATTTATAAAAAAAAATCTAGACTGATCTTACTGTATACTGATCAACCTCAGTATAAAACCTGCCCCTGTTTAGTTGAACACTACGTTGAGTTCCAGGAATTAAAGAAAGAAGTGGACATCTTCCTCTACTGCCACTTAGTGGAAGAGTATTTAATTGTTCTGCCTGTCATTGATGCTTTGACTATTATTATTTTTATTAAATAACAAAAGTCTTTAGACCATTTAATTGAAATTAAATAACTTCCTGTTCCTGCTGTTGATCTATTACCTAGTTATTGATTATTCACTAAGTCACATATAAACATTGTAGCTGCCTGCAAACTGTGTTTTTATTTTATTTGTACATTGTTTTTTATGTTATTTATATTCTATATTATTAAATATTGTCATATTATATATTATTTGTATATTATTATATTTTATTTGTTTTTATTATAAATGCCCTTGAGGTACATTGTACAGGGTCATTGAGTTTTTGGAAATTTTTATTTTAATTAGTATTGTATAGAAGTGCAGCTCCGTATGTCACACATTGCAGTGATCCTCATGACAATGAGTGAGTCCAGTCAGAACAGGCCTGGATTTTGCTGCAGTCACACAAACAGTCATTTGGGCCGACCTGCAGCAGCCGAGGTTTGTGAGAGAACAACAGGCCTTTGTCTGGCTTCTGCAGGCCGGCCTGGCATATCAGTGTGGAATGACTATGAGAATGTGAAATGGGTCAGTTTAGTGCGGGGTCGGACATCCTCTAGAAACTGGCTTGTTTATTTAACAACGCCTACCGTGAAATCAGAGAGACAAGTGTTTTCACTAAAGCCTGGTTTGGCTTTAGTGAAAACTGGTGATATTGTTGATTTTGTACAAATAAATTCTAATTTTCTACAAATGGAGAGTTGCAAAGGACTGTTTGTAGCTCGCAACGTCATTTACCAGACTGTTTGAATGAAGCATTTTTTGAATAATTCCTTGCAGCTTTGTCATAATTTTCTCATTTTGCTGCTGATTACAAATAGGAGCACACTCGTGTTGGTGCAGACACGTCCCAGGACATCCAGCTCTTTGGGATTGGGATCCAGGCAGAGCATTGTGTCCTGGAACTCTGTCCAGACGGTGATGTCACTCTGACGCCCATGGGCAATGCCAGGTGAGTTTCTTTGCATCAGCCATGCAGCGTACACATCAGCCTGTCTGCCGTCTCTGTCCTTTATATGGGTGGTTGTGGCTGGACCGCAGTGTTTCACATGATCCCACTGTGAAAGAATGTCTGATCTGAGCTCTGAGCTTTGATATCAGAGCCACATCTCCCACATCAAACCTCCTTAACAAGCCGCAGATCATAATGCAGACGTCTCTGGTGATAAAGTCAAACCTCCTCTGTCTTAGGACCTGTGTGAACGGAGCCATGATTGACACGCTGGTGCACCTGTGGCACGGAGACCGGATCTTATGGGGCAACAACCATTTCTTTAGGTTTGTCATATTTTTTAGCTCGATGTGTGTCACATTGACGGAAGTTAGAATGTACACAGTAAAAACCCCCGTGACGTGTCGTAGGATCAATTTGCCCAAGAGAAAACGGCGGGACCGTTTGAGAGATCTGGAGAGAGCTTCTCCCAGGGAGAGCTTCATCGAGGCAGATGTGGAGACGGCCAGCGAGGCGTCGTCTGAGCAGGACTACAGCTACGAGTTTGCCCAGATGGAGGTCATAATGAAGACTCTAGGGAACGGTATGATTGAAGTCATTTCTGTTTTCAAATCTGCATAATCCTAGAGATTTGAAGGTTAAGCTCCTTAGAGTAAATACAGACTTTTTACAGGAATATGATGAAATCTAACGGACATTCCAAAACTCGTAAAACAACAGCTGTGTTCTGGCTACTTAAGTCTATGAAAATTAATTGAAATGCCAAATCATTAATTATCAAGATCATAATTAATCATGATTAATCAAGGTAAATTGTCGATTTATTTATTTTTCATATTTCCTAGATCCCATGCAGAATGTGGTCCAGGTGCTGGAGAAGCAGTACCTGGAAGAGAAGCGAACTGCACTGGAGGAGCAGAGGATGATGTATGAGCGAGAGCTGGAGTCCCTCAGGCAACAGTTGTCTCCTGAGAAAGCATCGCAGCACCATCGCACCAGCAGCAGCGTCAGCGAACGCCTGACCTTCCAGACGCACACGCCACACGGCAAACTGCGACTCTGGACGGATGATCGGTCAGTGGAGCCGACACATGGTGGACACACTGGACTAAACACCTTTAATCCTATAATCACTCACACATAGTTTTAAAGAGTAATCATTGGGCCAGAGGTGGATTTTCAGATTTTTAAAGTACGACTTTGTCTGAATATTTTATTCTCACATGGGTTTCACTCTGTTCTGACCTATTTTGGATTTTGATAATGTGCCAGAAGGACATCTGCTGCTCTTACACAGCAGGTTTTACTGGACGTAGCCTCAGTGGCATGTATTTTTCTAAGTTTTAATTTTCCCATGACTAGTACACATGCGTAGATGAAAAAAAAAGAGCAGGGTATCTGCAGGGAGCAGTGTTGGTGCGTGGAGTTTGGTCTGTCATTAAATGTAAAATACCTGTTTGTGTCAGTCTAGACAAACAGTATATAAAAGATAATCACAGGTTTCTTTCTACCTGAATGAATGGATGATCCCTCTATTCTTTTTGTTCTGTTCTGTGTGTGTATGTGTGTGTGAGACAGTGATGTGCTTTTTCGTCAGAGTCTTTCTCGGCTCAGGGAGCAGGTCGTCAAAGCCAACACCTTGGTGCGAGAAGCCAACTTTCTGGCGGAAGAGATGAACAAACTGACCGACTATCAGGTCACTCTTCAGATTCCCACAGCCAATCTCAGTGCCAACCACAAGGTCAGACCCCTGAGCTGCTAAAAGAATAGCAACATCACTCTGGTTGTCATCATCGTATGTTTTATGATGCTGTAGACCAGGTGACAACCAGAGGCCCTTCTCTTGTGGATAGAATTTCTCTGTAATAAAACATATATTATATAATAAACATGTGCATGTGGTGAGACCTGTGTAATGCACACATCCATCCAAACAAAACCACTGTCTAATCTTGTGATTTTTTTTTTCTCTAGCGTGGAATGATAGTGAGCGAGCCAGCCATCCAGGTGCGGAGGAAAGGTAAAGGGACTCAGGTGTGGACAATCGAGAAGTTGGAGAACAAGCTGGTGGACATGAGGGACCATTACAGGGACTGGAAGGAAGGAACTGAGGAGACGGTGAGAACCCAGGAACTGGAAGGGAAATTTAAAAATATATATGTATTTATTAATTTTCCATTTTGTTCTTGTTTCCAGCATAACAAAGGAAACAGTAAACCATGTGATCCCTTCTATGAGGCACAAGAGAACCACAACCTGATAGGAGTGGCTAACATTTTCCTGGAGTGCCTTTTCCATGACGTTAAACTGCAGTACGCCGTTCCCATCATCAGCCAACAGGGGGAGGTACACAACTATTACTGAGTTTTCCGATGTATAAGTTGCACTTATTTTAGTGATTTAGCTGGTCTTGAGACTTACAGAAGAAATGATTTATCAAACTTATCTGTGGCCACAAGGGGGTACCCTTGACACTCAATTGAATGCTGCTACTGTATCACTCAAAAATGAATCAATTAGACACTAACAAAGTTGTTAGCCTGTTGGTACATATGTGTAAATTAATATAATTTTTTTTACCATTTTTTAAATTGCAACCTTCCTTTCACCTGTTTGTGCAGGTAGCAGGCAGGCTACACGTAGAGCTGATGAGAGTCAGTGGTGTTGTGCCTGAACGGCTTTGTGGGGGAGATGACTCTTCAGAAAACTCCAGTGAGAGCAGCTGTTTGGAAGTCATGGACACCAACGGGGAGATCGTCCACATGGCCAAGAGACTCACCTGCAGGGTAAAAGATTCTTTTCTCCATTCCTACATTTGATGAAGACTGCAGTAGTGTGTGACTGAAACATGAATAAACAACAGGGTCTGACATTTTTCCTGCCGTCCTCCTGCTGCAGGTGCGGATCCGGGAGGCCACCGGTCTACCTCTCAACCTGTCCAACTTTGTCTTCTGTCAATACACTTTCTGGGAGCACGGAGAGCCCACTGTGGCGCCCCCTATGGTCAGCCCTGACAGACCCTGCCCTCGAAGCCCAGATGCCCAGTTCACTGTCCAGTTTGATCACTGCAAGGTAAACAAATGGTGATTTTCTTACAGTGTTATTCCGTTTGCAGCATTTACTCTTTTACTTCATATATTTTTTCCCTGCAGGACTATCCTGTCCATGTGACAGATGAGTTCTTAGAATTCATATCAGATGGAGCGCTGGCCATAGAGGTTTGGGGTCACCGCTGTGCAGGGAATGGACGTTCACTCTGGGAGTTGGATGCACTGGAGGCCAAGACTCAAACACTCAGAGACAGGTACGTATTTCTCCTTTTAAAAGCTGCTCCTTTTGAAAAAAAAAATTGAAAAATGACGTTTGTTTCGCAAGGTGGAGCGAAGTTTCTCGCAGGATCGAGCTGTGGATCTCCATCCAGGAGTTGAACGAGCAGGGAGACTATTCATCTGTGGAGCTGCTGTCAGCAAAAGACAGCGGCACAGGAGGAGTCTTCCAGTTACGACAGGTCAGAAAAAAACCTATGCGAAAGTTTCTGTTATAAGTAATGGAAACTTGTACGAGTCCAAAATGTTCTTACATGGTCCAGGGAAAGAACCAGATTATTTCAAAACTACACTGATTCCTGGTTGAGTTTTTAAATTTTAGATTTTTAAATTGTTTTAAATCATTAGCCTCGTATATTCTTTATTAGATCACTCTGTCCATATCTAAATTTTCTAATATATTTAAAATATTAAACAAGCAAATAAATACAGTAAAAAACTTTAAACCACGTCTCCTACCAATATTCTCACTGACTGAATGTCAATGCAGTTCACAAAACTCAACAAAATAAAAATGATGATCATTTTGGAATCCAAAAACTCCAAAAAATTCTCCTGTCTCTTCTGCGAGATTTCCTCCTTTTTTTAAGAACTCTCCTTTATTTTGTTAAACATCTCAACATTTGTGAAGCGACGTTTATTAGTGGGTAGAAACATTAAAACAAAGAAAACATATTTTGAAACAACTGTTCAATGCCAAACTATTTGAACGCGCCTATTTGGCTGTTGAATCTGAATAAAACTGATTCCATATTTTTTCCAGCATCATGTGGCGGACAGCTTTGTCTTTTGTTTGTATTTAGTTTGGATTTCATCGCCTCTTCTTGTAGCCTCATGCCATGAATTACACAAATACACAATACATGCAGTGTTTTGATGTTGTCTTGGGGATTTTCTCTGACCAGGGTCACTCACGGAGGCTTCAGGTCTGCATTAAACCAGTCCAGAACTCGGGGACTCTGCCTCTGCTGGTGGAGGCGATTCTCTCTGTCTCTATTGGCTGTGTGTCAGCGCGCTCCACCAAACTCCAGAGACCTCTCGACAGCTACCAGGTCTGTGAAATCCTTTTGGAAATACATACTAAATACATACTAAATACAATAATTATATTTTCATATCTGTTAGTTCTCACTACAAGCCCACCAGTTTTATGATGTTGGTAGGAGTTATGTCATGATTTGTCAGAAATAGACTGTGTTTTGGTTAACGTCTAGTGCGTATGCGCCAAACACAGGCCCGGGGGCCAAATCTGGCCCATAGTGTAATTATATTTGGCTTGCAAGATCATATAAATGTGTACGAAACAAATACTACTGATTTATGTTTTATTTCAAATTTAATTTCGTCTTTATCATATTTGGAGAGAAGGGAAAACATGAACAATTGTCATAATTTTTTCAATGATTAAAGTTTGGCCCACGACTTTGTCACAATTTTTAATTTTGGCCCAGTCTGTATTTGACTTTGATACCTCTGGTCTAATGTTGTGCTGAGTCAGGTTTCCTGAAAAAACAGAAAAAAAACCTGAATAGTCACAAAATATCTTTTTTTTTTGGTTCCTAGTTGAAGATGGTGCTTCCTGAGACAGGATGTCGTTTTAAAGACCTTCACTGACCTAACAAGGGTTTACATGACGGGTGGTCCCCGTACAAATGATTACAAACTGATACATGTAGTAGTATTTTCAGTCATGGTTTTGGTATCAGTGAATCATTATTATTTATAAGCACTAAAATGCCTAGACAGTTACCTGAGCACGGGATGCGCTGTCATGTCAGAGCGCTTTTGACTGAGTGTGTTCTCCCCTGTCAGAGAGAGGCTGAAGAGGATATGGATAGTTACCAGGTACATGTTTTGAAGTACTTCCTGTTGCTGCTCACACTGTAGTGCAAACTGCAGCATGCAGGAAAACCCATTGACCGAGTGCTCACAGAGGACTGTGCTTGTCTTTCAACTAAAGAATCGCTTTATTAAACAGCAGCTGCACATGCAGATGATTTATGTCGCTGTAATTTATCAAACACACCGACCGTTCTTTGGTGCAGCTCCCAGCCAGGACTCTGGTTGCCAACTGTCTCCTTTCAGCTCTCTTTTTTTGCCTGTCTCTCAGGTTGCTCACAGTAATGCTACTGTTTACTAACCACGGCTGAGCAGTCGCAGCAATAATAACCATCAGCTCCTCTCATGGACACTGCATGGCTGCATGAGCGACAAAGTTTTGCCTGGCTCTGAGAATTGTCGTTTTACTCAAGACCAATGATTCTCAACCACCGTGCTGCGGCACACAAGTGTACCATTATTATTTATTTGACAGTGATAGGCAGAACCATCACATACAGCAGACGGCTATAATTTAAAAAAAAAAACAGCGAGACCACTGTCTGTCTGTCTTTCTTCAAGTCCTAGAAGTACATCAGGGTTGTGTTCAACTAAACAAGCCCAAGTTTTACATTGAGTATGTACATTCGTAGTAAATGAGACGAAACTAGAATATTATTATATTTCATTACGTTCTTGATTGGTGGTGCACCCTGGCATGATTTTTCTGATGATAAGTGCCATGGCTCATAATATAATTTAATGTAATGCATACTGATGCTTCGACATCGATAGATTTTATTGGATTTTACACAAGATGCATGTAATCAAATATATATTTATATATAGCTTGATGTTTTTGCTTGTGTAAATATCTCTAACAACTCAGTGTGTCAGGGTCAGCTGCATTTTATTACATATAAACTGTGTAAACAGTGTGCTGGTTGTTGACTTACGACAGACCAGTGGGGTCTGTCCATGTCCTGATAACACTACTGAGCTCAATGGGAGAATTTTTCTGGGCTGAGTCATCTGGCATTGACTCCTGTCTCTCTCTCCCTCACCCTCACTCTCTCTCTCCCTCACCCCCCTCTCTCTCTCTGCCTCCAGGAAGAAGACCTCAACTGTGTCAGGGAGCGCTGGTCAGAAGCTCTGATCAAACGCAGAGAGTACCTTGACGAACAAATCAAGAAAATCATCAACAAGCATGGTGAACTAGAAACCAACCACATTATGGGATGTTTTTCATCAAAATGAGAATTTTATGATTGAATTCCTGTTTCTGTTTCACCTTCTAACTCCAGAGAAGTCAGAGGAGGACGTTGAGCGTGAAGCTCGACTGGTGGAGCAGTGGGTCGGACTGACTGAGGAGAGAAATGCAGTTCTGGTTCCTGCACCTGGAAGTGGAATCCCTGGAGCTCCTGCGCAGACTGGTAACAATATATATAAAAAATATATATTATTTTTAATATTAAAGTGGTTTTTTACTTGATCTCTGATTTTGATTTCACGTGTTTGTAGGAATCCACCTGCAGGAATGGAAGCTCACACTCCAGTGCTTTACTTGGATTTAAATGGTACAAATACATCGACTTCACCTCGAGCACAATTTCACAGAATGTCTCGTTAGTTTTTTAAATCCACGACCCGTCTTTTTCTTCACCAGCTGATAATCTGACAGTGAACGAACAGCTGACAGGCCCACATGCTGCAGGAGTGAACTCCATCCTTCCCAAAGAGCATGGCAGCCAGTTCTTCTATCTGCCCATCATCAGACACAGTGACGAAGAGGTGAGCGTCGCGCTTCTCTGCCCTCTTGTGGCCAGAGGGGTAACAACAAACGAATTGAATCAAATACTCAGCAGAGCAGTGTTAAATTTTGAGGGCAATTTTGATCTTTTGGTCTTTTAATGAAATTGTAACGCTATCTTAGTCACAGTGTAGTCAATAGAGTAAGTTTAAATTTTAGTTTAGATTTAGCTTACACAATATTAAAATTATTTCAGTGTACTAAGTTTAGATCTAATCTAAACTTAGTACACTGAAATAATTTTAATATTGTAATATTTTTATGTTTGTAAAATGACCTAAGCTCTGTTTATAAATATTTGCCTTTTTTCTTCTAATGGGAAACCATGTCTTATTTAACATTATTATTATCTTGGTTTTACTCATGTATTAACGCTTTGGTTCTATTTGGACCAGCTGTCTTCTGTCTGTGCTGTCTCAGCCCGAGGACAAATAAATGTCTTTCAACAATAAAAACACCACAGTCTAAGACACAGTTCTCCTTCTTGACCAGGTGTCGGCCGTTTGCTCTTGGGACTCGTCCATCCACGATTCTGTGCACCTAAACCGGGTCACATCTCCACATGAACGCATCTACCTGATCATCAAAGCCACGGTGCAGCTCAGCCACCCGGCCTCCATGGAGCTGGTGCTGCGTAAACGCATCGCCGTCAACATCTATAACAAACAGGTGAATGGAAGTGAAGCAGACATCAGATCGTGAGTTTCAGTAGGTGCACGTCATTTGCATAACCTTTTTTTTTTTTACCTTTTAATACAGAGTTTCACTCAGAGTTTAAAAAGGAGAATGTCGCTGAAGAATTCACATCACAGCTGTGGTGTGACCTATGAGATCGTTTCTAACATACCAAAGGTGAAACTCTAATACAGTGAATCTACATGTTCACATTCTCCTCCATTTATACCCCTGCTTCATCTTTAACACATTTCCATTCTGTTATTTCCTGTTATTTCCAGGCTTCAGAGGAGCCGGAGGAGAGGGAGACCTTGGCTCTCATGGCTGCTCGTGGTGACAGTGAGGAGACTCAGGATGGAGAAACCTACATAGAGAAGTACACTCGGGGCGTTTTGGAAGTTGAGAACATTCTCAGTCTGGAGAGGTTACGGCAGGTATTGTTAAAAAAAAAAAAAAATTCATACATGACCAACTGGTCTTTGAAAAAAGTTGGGACCGCTGCTTTACAGGATAAATGTTGAAATACTGCACAAAAGACTTTACCTCCAAAGATGACATCCATCTTTTTCAGGCTGTGACAGTGAAGGAAGCGCTCAGCACGAAGGGCAAACACCTAAGACGGAGTATCAGCACACCAAATGTACAACATGTAATGGTCTCACTACTCACTGCAACACTGAACTCTCACTCTTACCCGAGTGTAAAATAAACTGCTTTGAAATCTGATTAGACAGTGACGGCAGGCTTTTGTTTCTCCAGACTTCCTGCAGTAAAACTGACCTGACGGGCTGTGAGGACGACGACTGTAAAGTAGGTCACAGCAGTGGAGACGTTTATAGATTGGAGAGAAACAATTTTATGACATAGTCGTCTTTAAGATATTAACATCAGCTGTGTGTTACCTGACAGGACGGCTGTGACCAGGTGGATAATCCCAGCTGTAATCCCCAGGATGGTCCACTGTGCACCACACCCATCAAAAGCAAGGAGAACCAAGGTGAACTAAATGAGAGTGAACTAAAGCCTTGACTTCATCTTCTGAAGTCCACGGTCAACTGGCCAATAACTACGTGTGTGTTCTTCTGCACAGGTTTGCCCCCAGAGAGTCCCACTTTTTTCAATTCCAGCCCTTTCAAGGTGCTTACACCTCAGACTCCTAAGTTTCTCAAGTCTCTGCTTCCTGTCAAAGAGGAAAACAAGGTGAAGAGATCCTTGGAGTCCAGGCCACTACTGGGACAAGAGGTAGTGACTTTATTTACAGTATCTCCCCCTCAAAATGAAGAGAATTCATGTTTAATTATATTATGTCATGTTTGTCCTTCTTCGATGAAGCTTCATTTCCATTGTGTTTTTGACTTTTTAGTATTCATTTTTGTTTACATTTTTACACATTTGCATCATCGTATGAATGTATCCAAACTTGCCTAATTTTTTAAAAATGTTTTATACTGCCTGCCACTAACTGTTATGCAGCCTGCCCAACTCCATGCATGCTGTGTGTATGTGTGTGTGTGTGTGCGTGTGTGTGTGAAGTGTGTGTCTGTTCTGACCCGACTGCAGAGCATGCGCTCATGTGTGGACAGCCCTGCATTGCTCCCCCCTCCCCCCCCCCCCCCCCCCCGGGCCCCCCCCCAGGGGAGGGCAGCGAGGGCCACTGTAAGCCTTCCACCTCCGCCACCATCTCCACCTCCATCCCCACCTGCACCCCCACCAGCAGTCAGCTCACCCACACATTACCACACACGGCTGTAAGTGCTACACACTCACATGATATTTACAGACAAGGCATGGAACAAGTTCATAAAACTAAATACAACACACTTTAATCCAACTGCTCACTGCTGTGTACTTTGCTTCAAGCATGTGCCTTTTTTAGACAGTTTCTGCACTAGTACCACTGCTAAAGAGTATATCATGTGTAGTACTATTATTAAGATTAGTGGTAACAAACGACTGTGTGTGGAGCATTTAAATCAAATGTTGGCCATTGTAATGGAGAAAAACCATATGCAGTAATGTTGGTAATGAAGTAAGTATTCTAAGAGTCCCTTTGGAAAGTTGTTAAATACAGTGTTTCTAACCTTGGTACTATTACCATGTATTTTTTACATTAGAAAACCCCACAGCCCTCCACTAAGAAAAGGGAAATTGGATCCTGTTTAGTTGAACACAACACTGATATACTTGCAGGAGTGGAAGAAAGACACACATGTTTTCTTTTTTTGTCTCTGCTGCCACCTAGGAGTAGAGTATTTAATTGTTCTCCCTTACACTCGCATAGACAAATAGGGACAAATTATTTGCAAAAATAAAAAATAATTAATAGTTTTCAGACCAGTTGAGCTGGACCATTCCCCACATTGCGCCTGTTAAACCTTCATGGCACACTAATGCACACTGGGTGAGAATCACTGGTTTAATGTACAAAGAAAAGCTTTATGATAATACCAGTTAATGAGGTGTAACAAAAGCTGAAAAAAAGATTAATGTTTGAGGGAATTCATATAATTTACCCAGATTAAACATTTACATTTCACTGTCATGTTCCATTACATTCACTGCATTTTTTTCACTCACATTATTTTTTTTTCAGCTCTTGTTCACATTAGTAACAGTCCAGTGTGTATTTCCTTTTTTCCTTTTTTTTTGCCATTGCTTATGTTATAAACAGCAGGACTCTGAGGACGAGGACACTGACGTGAATGTGTCTGTGGACATGGATCCAGGCTCTCAGGATTCCAGGAGATTCCAGCCTTACATCCCAGAGGAATTTGCAAACTTCGAGGTGTACAACGCCACCTTGGAGAACCAGGAGGGCTCAGACTTGAAGGGAAGCTCATGTGGAGGTGGCAGTGGAGAGAGACAAGTGTCCCGAAGCCCCACGACCAGCAGCTGCACCAGTGGCTACGTCTCACACAGTGCCTCCAACGCCACACTTTCTGATCTGCCTTTCAGTGCCAGTGAGAGCTCAGATCACATCAGCTGCCCCCACAGAGACCCTCAGGACCACCACTGCTGCCCTGCTGGACGAGGCTACACCCAAACCAAAAGTGTCTCTGCGGGGACAGACGCGCCACAGTCCCGTCTCTCTCCAGATGTGGTCCAGGATCTGCTCAGTCAAACTCAGGGCTCTTTACCCGTCAGTATTTCTCACTGCGAAGACAAGCCTCAGCCTCACAGCTGCGTCCTCAGCACCAGCCAGGAGTTCACTGACTTTAAAGGCGCTGATGACACGATTGGAGAAGGTGATTTAGAACCTTTTACAGAGAGGTGGGAGCAGGAAAACGTAGAATCCGGTGACACCGACACTCGACATCCCTCTGTTGATTGTGGTATTATTAACACATCTGAACCTCAAGAGTCAGTAAAAAAGTGTAACCAAGACTCTGGGTCGTGTCCCAACACAACTTTAATTTGCACTGCAGTCAGGGCTCCGCTAAATGAACCTGACAAAATCCCAACTCCTTCTCAAGTCCACACCCTCCCTCCTGCATCAGCTCCACCGACCCCACCCACATGTGTGTCTACAGTCACAAAATCCGCTCCCGCTCCCAGAGCAGGAGGAGAACCTCCGATCCAGGAACCAGCACAGGGAGATCTGCCCCACGGTAGTCCATGCCCCAGTCCGAACCCCAGTAGTGCTGAACCCTCGGGGGACTCCAGCGGTGATGAGAGCACTCCAGTGGCTCAGCTTCCTGACTGGATGGCCCCCGGAGAACACGTGTGGGTGGGGAAGAGGAGAGGAACCGTCCACTACGTTGGAGGGGTAGAGTTTGCCAAGGGCATCTGGATCGGTGTGAAGCTGGACCTGGCAGTGGGTAAGTTCTTCTAAAATGTTTTGCTCTGTTTGTCATTGAGGAAATGATGTGTTTAGGTTTAGGGTTAGGTTTAGGGTTAGTCTCAGAACCTCAAGATTGGAGCCTGTCTTTGCTGCAGATTTCAATGAACAGTAATGATTGATTTAGAATTAATTTACTTAAATATAGTTTTAATTACAAGTCTTGGTTTTAGGGGTGAGCAAAAATATTGGATCAGATAAATTCTGGATCAGTACTGTGATCATTTATTTCATCCCAAATGTATTTCATCATCACTAATTACTGTAAGTGTCAAAGTTCTATACTTTGGTTTAAAGCACTGATTAATCAGTGTCCTGTTGCCCCCCCCCAAACCCCCACCCCCATAGGTAAGCACAATGGAACCGTCCAGGGCAGAGTTTACTTCCGCTGCCCTCCAGGTCATGGAGTGTTCGTCAAGCCATCACGTCTCACCCGAGGACCCCCCTCTATGGACATGGAGCCTCACACTGTGATCAGATAGGAACCAGAAAAGGACCTGTTTTGGGGAGTTGAAGCAGAGTCTTGGCCCTCGGACCCTGTGGCTGTGGCTGGACAGCAGGTTGACGTCCGGACGGCTCCACCTTCCATCTCTCTTTTTATTCACCACTCAACTCTGTGGCTTCACTGACTTTAATGCCTTTACTGAAGGGCGATCCTTACGACTGTTCACTGGGTTTTCTCTATGCACATATTTGACTTTTCTACGCGGTCATATTTTGATACAGAGCAAAAACATTTGACTAAAGAGTTAATGTGGATAACAATAAAAAAAAGATATTTTTATAAGACAGCTTGTCCTCCCCTGAGGATCGAGAAGAAGAATCTAAAATATAAAGATGAAGAATGTACTACTGTTAATAAACATTGATATTTACGTAAATATGATTTGTCAGGGGTAACCAAAGAACTACGGTTCCATATCTGCTGTTATGAATAATAATGTGTTATTTTTCTATTAATGGAAATATATATATATATCTATATATCTATAGATATATAGATATATATATATTGTCCATTTGTGTTTTAAGGAAGAGCATAGTGCCATAGGAGTAATGCCACGGATTCTGACAAACCTGCAAAAACCTGAGAGTTTCTCTGAGTGTTGGACCGCATACCGTTGTCTTGTTGTCGTACTGTAAACACTGTGGAGGAAATGAAAACCCATCCAGCATCAGACTGCTGCTGTTTGAACGCTTGCACTGGAAGAGGATTCTCGGAGAGTTCAACGACCGTCTTCTGTTTGGGAAAGATGAACATTTAAGCTGTGGACTGAAAGCAGACAGACCCCGAAGTCCAGGTCCTTGAAGAGAAAGGCACATAAACTCCCCACCCCCCTCAGCACCACTCCACCCACCCGCCCACCACTTCACAACTTCAGTGTATGGATCTGAAACTTGTGTATGTTTATCAACACGCCAAACCATCGAATCCCTTTTCCACTGGTGGTGATAATGGAATATTTGTCACCATGACTTGGTGGAACCTGGTGGAACCACCTGGAAACAGATGAAAAACCCTTGATTTGTGTTTCACTTGACATGATGGTTTTGTTGGGTAAGAAGAGTTGAGTAAAATAGAATTATTTTTTTAATATTCCTTTATTAAATCAGGTGAAGTCAAATGCTGCATAACAACAATGTTACAATGACAAACAAACTCTGATGCACTACATGACCACAAAATGATCCTCAACTTCAAAATGGATAACAGTGAAATAATGCTCTTCTCCCTAGTTTAGTTAGTTTGGTTCCGATCATCATTCAAAAGACATCACGAGATCAGACCACAATGACCTTTAGCTTCTAAACATCAATTTACACAGATAATTAAAAAAATTAGACAGCAGAAAATGACAGAGCCTGGAGCCAGGGTTTTGGAACCAGGTGACTCCATTTGTTTTTTAATGGTCTATGGATCCAAAAATGGTGCAGAAGTAGTTATAGAGTGGGTTGTGATGTACATTTATTCTTTTTTTAATCAAGTGTTGAACTGTGGAACAGACTATAGAACTAGAACCTATAATCCTGGAGTTATTGCAAGTACACATGAAAGGAACCCAAGACCTTACATCTAAAGAGAACAAAGCTGCTCTCCCTCATACGGAGCTGTACATAAAAAATGTATTTGAACATAGTATTTACACTATTATGATGTACAGAATTGTATTTATATTGTATCACCAAGTGTTTTCATTGGTACAAAATGTTCCAGAATAGAACATTTTCAATCTGACTGCTGTGTGGACTGGGTTCTTCATCGTCTTTGTTTGTTCTCCATTAAAAAGTAGAATCAAATCAGACTTCATTCAGGTAGGTTCGGTGTTATTCTAAATGTGATCAGTAGTTGGCGGTAATGCAACTAGAGTGCATTTGCCAGCCAGAAGAAGTTGATTAGTAAACCAGGATTGCTTAGCTAGCAGGCAGAAAATGCATAGAGGAAATATAAAAATAAAACTTCTATTCTTTCACATAACATTTCAAACAAATATTACAGACCATATAAAAAAGATACCTAAAAAAATGGGGCAGATGCTTTGTGGTGACCTGCAGTTTACCAAAGGTGGCCATGGCAACCACTTGTGGGCGCCACTGCAACTGGTGTCACATGATATTTTTCCCAGTAGCAGCGGCGACCCTGTGGGCCGCAATACAGTGTTTGGGAACGCTTCGTCCACGTGAGGTCCGAGTGGAGTCGAGTGTCAGAGTCGCATTCTGACAAGTGGGACACACGAACGTCTGCTCACACACCAACAGGTGTTAGCCTCCTCCTCCTCCTGCTGCTCACACACCAACAGGTGTTAGCCTTCTCCTCCTCCTGGGTCACATTACCGTCAGACTCGGTGACCACACTCTCCACACCGTGTCCCGGCTCAGCACATGTCTGTTCGCCTCTCCCTCACTTCACCTGGCCCGCAAACTCTCCTTGAAGCCGACACTTGGACGTCAATGATGCACTCCGCGCAGAAAGACACCACTTACACCAAGATCTTCGTAGGAGGTCTACCGTACCACACCACCGACTCCAGCCTCAGGAAGTACTTCGAAGTGTACGGAGACATCGAGGAGGCTGTGGTCATCACTGACCGACAGACCGGCAAATCCAGAGGCTATGGCTTTGTACGTATCCCAGCCTCGAGTCGAAGTGGTTCCAGAGACAGGGGGAGAAGTGTAGTGAAATTAGTTGGTTGTCTTTAGTACGTTCCACAGCCCAAGTGTTTCCGTGGGACTGTGGAAGTTTTTTTTTATACTGTTGTGACCCAATTTCTATGTTATTTTCTGATAGGTGACCATGGCAGACCGGGCCTCTGCTGACCGAGCGTGTAAAGACCCCAACCCCATTATAGACGGAAGGAAGGCCAATGTGAACCTGGCCTACCTGGGGGCCAAACCCAGAGTCATACAGCCAGGTGAGACCCTCGTACCACACATAGCACTGTGATAAGAGTTGGTTAAACCAGTCAACTAAGACTCGCTGTGTCCGTTTCATAGGTTAAATATAAGGAATGGACGAAAGTATCTAGTTCCAAAATGTTAAAATCGTGAAGTGCTCCACTGGTTTTAGCGTTAAGTCCTGGTCGGATCACTAGTAGTGACGAAAAGTTATGCTAACCAGTTTCCAGTCGCCTGTTACTCAAACCTCAAATAAGTAACGGGATAAAGGTTAGCGTAACTTTGGTCATAACACAACAGCTGACAGTTGAGCGATGTTCGGTGCAACTAGGCTCTGATTGGACAGACCAGCTGTCGTTTACATGTGGCGTCCACTCATAAAGCAGCAGCTCCCTAAGTCTGCCCTCTTCTCACAAAACCAACTGTCATGTAAAAAGAATGTTTGTTTTTTTCAGTACTTTACATTTTTTTTAAACTTTTTTTGTTTAAGGTTGTTGGTTTTTTTTTTTAAAGAATTGATTTACATAATTGTTTTCCCCCAAAACTACAAACTGAAGGTCCCCTTTGGAACCTCCTATTGAAAGCGATTGACTGGGATTATGTTTATTCATGACCAATCCACAGTTACTTTGTGATTAAAATGATACTTATTTGACAAAGTAATATATTTATTTTAATTTATTTTTTTTGGCAGGATTTGCTTTTGGTGTGCCTCAGATCCACCCAGCCTTCATCCAGAGACCTTATGGGTAAGTCCCGCTGTAGAACCCCAACGGTCCACATGTATAAACACAAATACAGTATATGGTCTCTGATGATCTGTTGTCATTTGTTGTACTGTTCACCACTGCCTCCCCCTGTTTAATCCTGTATGAGGACATGTGAGTGTTGATGTGTGCTCCTCTGCTTGGCGTCAGGAAGTGAACGTTGGTCCTCAGCCCCTGCAGGCCTTGACTCCATGTTGTGTCTGTGTCTCTCTCTGATCTGACAGGGTCGGTATCGGTTAAAATAGCTGATGAAGGGACATGATGATTTGAGGAATAGCTGAGTCTGCATTGGGGCAGAGCGCTAAAGTCTTACCTGTTTACATACACAAACGAACTGAAAATGGTGACTAGATGCATGGAAGTCTTCTGCTGTTTTTTTTCCAGTTTTCCTAGAACATAGACTGGTGTGTGTGCCTTGTTTTCAGTATGATGTGGTGTTTCAGCTTAACTGTGTGCTCATTTCTACTTGCGGTGGGGAATACGGGGGCGGGGGGTGACAGGTGGTTTTTTTGTGAAGATTTGGAGTTTTGATAGGATCTGAAGTTGGATTTCTGCAATTGGGTGTTTTTTTTTATTTCACCCCCACTTTTTAAAAATAGTTTTATTTAATAGTTCTTTACTTATTTCCTCAGACCGAGTTAACATGAAATCAGAACTGTTTTGTTGACAGTAGCTGGCTGATGTGCTAATTTCCAAATACATCTCCTGCAACAAAACAAACAGTGGCATGCATGATGGAGTTTTTCTGTTTTTCTTACCCATGATGCTGTGTTTTCTTTTATTAACACTGAACTGCCTTCACCAATAGAACATATTTTAAGTACACTATAGCGAGTGTATTTTTTTTCCAGAATGTTCTCCAACCCGCTTTTTCACTAGTTTCTGATAGTGAAACTAAGAGGAAACCTTCGTAGGCTCGATCACTGTCAACTTCAGACGTAGAAAAGTCCATTTTTAAATTTAGACAAATGCTCTGTCCATTGGAGACACAGATCTAAACCCGGGGTTCTGTTTAGGCAGCAGCTGTTGGCCACAGTGATCTCCACGGCCTCTCAAATTCAGATGGAAAATAGGAGTCACTCGGCAGCGCTGTTAATAATGTATGGCATAGACACAGCCACTCGGCTGTGGACAACAGGTGGACCGAGATGTGCCCATGAAGCCCCGGGGTTGTGTGCTGGGGGATTACCCTTGTGTCCTGGTGATTTACAAAGCACCTTTATTTAGCTCCAGACTCACGCGTCCACAAAATGTTTGGCAAATTCCTTACAGAAAAAAGTGCCTCAAGTCCTAGGTTAGTGCTTTAAATAATTATGAAATAAAGTCGAGTCAGGAAGAAGCACACACCCACTTGTTGCTTCTTATTTTTCCAAACACATCATCAGTTACAATCCCTAAGTCTTCCATTCTACTAAGTTAACAATGGAATAAATAATTCACAGCCCTCCATCCCAATGGGCTGGGACACCTGAATAAAGCCAGGAGAGTCGGTGAGGCGGAGGAGCGGCGTCAGGTGGCCGTTTCATTTGACGAGAGCTCTGCCATGTGTTACTGAAGGAGAAGATCAACTTGTCCTTTGGAGATGACAAGGGGAGCAAAAATAGCATGCCTCCAGCCTCCCCTGTCAGTCAAGCTGGGGTGTATGTTTGTCAGGGGTGTCTGTCTGTTTGAGGGGGAGGGGGACACGTGTCTTTGGACATGGTCCCACCTGCTCCTCAGTATATTTTCTAAAGGCTCGTTCACCCAGATACTGAAATTTCTTTTCAGCTCTATTGCTAGTCAACGTTCTTCTCTTCAAAATATATATTTAACAGACAACGTTCTTCTCTTCAAAATATATATTCAATCAAGTGCAATCAAGTGATTCATATTTTTTTAAACTGATTAATCACAGGGTAGCTGTCGATTAATCACGATTATTTGTGATTGTAATTAATCATGAATAATCGTGATCATAATTAAGCATGATTAATTGAGATAAGTCCACATTCCTATATATGGCAAAATGTATTAAATCACACATACACGTGTATATTTTTAGTTTTATGTGTGACTAATCCAAATTACTCAAATTACCTGTCTGTGTATATATATATATATATATATATATATATATATTCTTCTATATTTTGGTAGTTATAACATGGTGAAAGAGCAGACCACAATGTCTAATTTCACCACTAGATGTTGCTAAATCCTCAGTAGTGTACTTCAGTAGTCTGAAAAACTGGTCAATTAATAGTCAAATTAGAAAGAAACAATATAAAGATAACTTAAATTCTTTGGAAAATGGGAGAAAATATAAGTAAATCTACAATTACAACAGGGTGGCTTAGCCATCATGGCTAGAGGTTAGCATTTAGATAGCTTGAAAATGAAAATATATGAAACAGTTTTAGTTTCTTACGTTTTATGGTTTGTTTTGTTTCTGATTTTTCTGTCTTACGGATGTATTAACATGTTTGGGCATGTCTGTATTTGTGGTGTTGATGGACAAGTAGTGTCCATTTCTTATCTTGACATGTTGTGTTGTGCGATAAGCTCGCATTTTGTCAGATTCGGTTTTCAGTGAGACACTGGGTGCAGAGCTGGGCTGTGTCCTCTTTTAAAGCCTTATAATATTTCAGATTCCAGAGCTTTTCTGTTACTATTTGAATTTATTTTCTTTTTTTTCATTTTATTTAATGCTGTGCTCTAGTTATGTTGTTGATTTTTTTTTTTTTTTTTGCTGCTTCCTTAACTTTTCATTTGTAGGTTGGGTTTTTTCAATTGTTAATGAATGGATTTGCTGTGTTCTGAGGACTGGATTGACCTATTTGTGGCGCCTGCTTTTCAGTTTTCCAGACTTTAGTTTCGGCCTTGAATGGATGACTTTAAAGTGGCTCTGCTTTGACTCTACTCGTTTTTGTATCCACAGGATCCCTGCCCACCTGGTTTACCCTCAGGCCTTTGTCCAGCCCAGTGTGGTGATCCCTCATGTGCAACCCTCTGCTGCTACAGCAACAGCTGCTGCTGCGGCAGGCGGCCCCCCCCCCCCCCTCTATCATA